CCCACTTACTCTTTCTGGCCCACAGTGCAAAAAGCAGTTAGTTATAGACAAGATAAATCTATGAAGGCAAGTAAACTGCAGACTATGAATATGTGTATTTTTGTTGATTGGATGTTAGATAAAGGAATTATTTTTTCAACTTGCATTATAGAATCTTTATCCTCTGTGAAGCACATTCTTAATCTCATGACCCAGTTCTTCAGTGGATCTGTGATGAGTAGTCTTGAAATCCTTATACCAGACTTTTCAACTTAAAAAGTCTTAGGAATGTTCCCTTCCTTGAAAACAAAACAAAACAAAACAAAACACACACACACAAAACACACACACACAAAACAAACTCAAAAGAAAACACAAAAACCCCAGTATTATTCTTCTCAGACTGAGAAGGACTCAGACCTTCAAACAGGCAATACACAATGTAGAACAGGCGGATCAGTAGAATACTCTGCTAGTAATAACCAGAGTGTTTTGGAAGAAACTCTGGTGTTTTGAAGTAGTTTTGGTTCCTATAAAATTAAAAACAAAAAAGCCCTTGGCAGTTTTTTACCAAATAGTAGATAAATCTGTTTTTTTCTATGGACACTATTCTTACTAATCCAGAAGGGGGAAATCTCTGCAAGATTTTATGCATTTGGTATTGACAGCAAAAAAATATTAGTATATGAATGCAGGAATGGTGACATTTTCTTCTAGATTAAAGAGGATGGAAAGAAAAAAGTCAGATGTATAGTTTAGGCTTGAGGTTAAGGCTTACAAGGCGGCTTTAAATATTTGTAGTGTTCTTTTCTCAAAAGTAAAGACCAGTGGCTTAATACTACAGGAATTAGGAAGAGGAGATGTACAAGTACATTCAATCTGTAAAGAAAATTCTTGGTTTCAAACATTCTAAATACTTCTGAAAGTATTAAAGAAAAAATTAAACACATTAATACAAACTTACGCATCATAGCTGTTATCTTCTTTAATCCTTAGAGAGTTCTTTGTGCTTCAAGACTTTGGAAAGAATTAAGAAATGGCTCATATTAACAGTCCATTGTGTATTCCCCTTAGTACCATTTTCTTCTTTTCTTACAATTACTGGGACTCATCTTCTTTGCTTGAAAATAGGATTTTTGTCTCATCTGAGTCTCTGCTATTTAATTCCTACTTGAAGTCATAATCCTCCCTCTCACATCATGCCAATTTCTTGGTAGCTAATTCTGATGTCACATGCAGGATTTTTACTTCAGAAGAGCTGATTATTTAGGTACCCTTTATGTACCAGAATTTAGTCTTTCTGAAATGTACAAATTAAGGAATACTGCAGCCCGACAATTTTAAGGTACTAAGCTCAAGGCACAAGTTGTGAAAGCTTGAGCTCCTGATTATTACTTTTTATTAGTATATTAATAGACTTTCTGTTAGAATAAGAAGGTAACTAAGAGTACACTCTGTCTTTGCCTTCCAAAATACGCTTTCAGAAAGATGCCTTTGTGATACACAGGCTGGCCACAAAAATTTAAGGTGAGGTGATAATTTTTCCACTCAGGCAATGGTGTCAGAAAAGACTTTGACCTGGACTGGTTTCAAACCTCTGATTTAAAACAGACACAATGTTATAACACTACCTGATACCCACTTGTCCAAATGTATTGTGTTTGTTTGGGTTTGTTGGTTTTTTTCCATTTCTTCATGAAATGTCTAAGTCTCTGAAACAACTTCAAGAA